GGCAGAGAAGAAGGCTGCCTCCGAATCCGTAGATGGTACCCCGTGCTCTGTGGGGTCTTTCTACCTTTATCAGGTAGCCTGGCAATGTAGGGAACAGCTTCCCGCGGTGGGAGCATGTCCCCCGCCCCGAGATCCTACTGGATGTGCTGGCCTTTCCCAGCCACTCGTCCAACTTTGGACACACATCCCTGAAGCACCTCTCCGGTCCAGAGGCGCACTGGCGTGGGGGTGTGGAGAGGAGCAGGGACTCGGGGGACACCACCTGCCGCTAGCATGAGCGAGCCCTTTAGCGTTCGGGGAGCCCACTGACGCGTAACTGTGTGTTGTGTGCATGTCTCGGTCTCAGTAACTGCACAAGGACCAGCCAAGCCAAGAAGGTGAAGGATTTTACAACCATTTTCTGGTGCACACGGCATTACTGAGAAGCAGATCTTCTTTAAAAAAAATTTTTTTTAATGTTTGAGAGAGAGAGAGAGAGAGAGGGAGACACAACTCAAGGCAGGCCCTGAGCTGTCAGCACAGAGCCCGATGTGGGGCTTGAACTCACGAACCGTGAGATCATGACCTGAGCCGAGGTCTGATGCTCAACCAACTGAGCCACTCAGGAGCCCCTGAGAAGCATCTCTTCGGACCTGAGATGCGGGAGGGCGGGGGGAGGGAGGCTTAAGCACCGTCCGCTATCCAGGAAGGAGGCAGGGTGGAACAGGCCCGCAGAAACACAGCCTGTGTTGTCAGAGGAGGGAAGCATCCATCCGCGGGCTGCAGAGAGTCCTGGGGAAGTCCAGGTGGAGGCCATGAAGGTAGCATTCGACTTGGCCCTTGAGAGAGCAGTTGAGTATCTGCAGGTGAGAAGCGTGGTGAGGACCAGCTCAAGGCCGGTGGGCAGGTGTGGGAGGACGGGGAGCCTGCAGGTGGGAGGCTCAGCGTGAGGGGAGGGCTTCGGGGTCCCGGTCCCCACTGCCGGGGCCTGTGATCCTTTCTGAGCAGTGAAATGAACGGATGAGATTTTTGGTTTAAAAATGCGGCTTAATGGCTGTGACGTTGGAAGGGTCAGCTTTTCGGGCTTCTCAATCTGAATGCATCCGGAGGCCGTCAGAAACAAGGCCTCTTGAGGAGGTCTTTTCAAGGGGAGGGGTGGAGAGGAGGAGGGGTCAACAGCCCCGGGAAGATTCAGAGGCTGCGGAAGACGGTGAGTCCCGCCGGAGGCGCCTGCGGTGGGGGAGGGCTTGGCGGAGGTGTTGGCTGGACAGGAGCTGGGGGGCTGGGCTGTGGGTAGACGTTAGGGTTTCCTGAGTGTGACCTGCTCCCCTTCCCCTGCGCCAGGCAGTGGGGAGGACTTGCGGCCAGATGGGAGGTGACCCCACGGCTGGGGCGCCTTGTGGGCCAGGAAGTGTCTTCAAAGGGTTGGCAAGGGGGCCCTTGGGCGTGCACGTGCCACGAGGCGGGGGGGACCCCCACCCTCTCCAGATCTTGGCCCGCCAGGAAGCGGCCAGGCCTCGTGGGCAGCAGTTTGACGTTCGCACTTGGTCTTTGCAGCTGAGGTTGTGGCCGGCCGTAAGCAGCCCGGGGCTTGGCTTTGGGCCAGTGCGTATTTCTCCCAGGTGAGAACGTGCGGGAGGGAGAGTTCTGCACCTAGAGGAGGGTCAGAAGCTTCTCTCCTTTGGGCTGTGACGGTGGCCGGAATGGGTAAGGCAAATGGCCTGTGGCAAATGAGCGCCCGTGGTACCTGGCAGTGTTCACCTGCGTTCTCTGATTCGTTGCAATGGTGGGTGGTGGTCGCTCTCTCATCTGCTGGAGCAGCAGGAGGGGGCGAGATGCTCGTGACCTTGGCGAGTTGGGGCAGGTGGGAGACTAAGCCTGCGTCCCCTACTTCTGGGCAGTAGGCTCCCCTTAGGCTCTGGTCCCCAGGAAGACCAGGTGATTGTGATTCAGGCCTTCCAGAGAGGGGAATGCACAGTTGAAATCAGAGCAGCGTTTTCTTGTCTTCAGATTCTGACCTGCAAGTTCCTTGGAGGTGGAGGTCAAGCAGCACAAGCACAGAGGGTTCTAGAGGGAACTAGTATCTGGCTTTTTGCCGATCTCCCCGCAGGAAGGATCCTCAGTACCTTTGAGAGCCAAGTGGTAATTTCATGCCCTTGTGTAGGCTGGCATCTGAAGGTAAATTTTGGGTAGTGTGGGAAGTCCAAGAAATAAACTGGGGCTATATCCACAATGTGAGGGAACTTAGGGGTTTCCTTTGAATGTGTTTGAAGCATGCTCTTTATGTAGCCTTACAACTCTGTCAGTTTCACAGGGAATTTTAGGTGAAAAACCCATTTTGGAACCTGTTCTAGATTTCTTAAAAGAAAATAACAGTGAAACTTCCCTTCCATGTATTTCCCTGCGGTTGGAGTTTTCTCCTGAAAATGCTATTATGCAAAACAAAATTCTCTTTTTGGGGAAAGTGCCTTGGAAGTAAACGCTATGAAATAAATCTACCTGTGGATTATTTTGGTCGTCCCCTTTCCCAGAAAGGCCGCCTGCTCAGGTTTTTCTCTCCCCCAAACACAGATGGACTCAGTTAGGAAGTAACAAGGGTAACTGACACCCAAAAGATCGTTGATTGTTCGGGGCAGTTTCTAACCTCCTCACTTGCTGACACCTTGGGCTGGAACTCGTGTGCCAGGGGCTTGTGTGCAGCGTCTGTGCCCTCTGCCCACCCGGGCGGGGCCAGCGGCACATCCCCATCCTGACAAGCAGAAGGGTCTCCACTTTGCCAAATGTGTCTCCCCCCGCCCCCCGGTGGTCCCAAATCTCTCCTGGCTGAGAACCAGCTCGTTTAAGAGGATTGTCTGCTCACGCAAATGTTTCTCTAGGAAAATACAAGAAATGTTAGCAGTTCACTAAATCTGTTCAGTTTTCCTTAGAGATTAGAATATGAAGCGGGACGGATGCCTCCCCCACTTCGGGCGCAGAGGTGGGGTTTGTGATACACTCTTGCTTTCACATTCATCACGCATCAGTTGTTCCCAAGCCTCTGGGGGCTGCGGGCTCCTTGTTGGTGCGAGGGTGTTGGGGCCTCCATGGGTACTGGTGGCGCAGTGAGCCTGCCACACGAAGGGGAGCCTGGCGGGGACGGGACGCTGCGAATGCGTGGGGCGCGCCCAGCAAGGGTTCCGAGGTGGATTTTCTCCGGGCGTCTAGGCTTTTCCCTTAGAATTCCGCCTTCATCAGGATTCTTCAAGTGCCCCTTTCCTTTATTTCTAGAAGGGCACCGAGAGGCACACTTCCTAGAATCCAGTCTTTATTACTTGGCGGAGACAAAATGCTTAGGTAACAGCCCTGCGTCTGAGAAGTGGTCGCCCCACTCACGCCGGCGCCTGGCAGGGGGCAGGGTGCACTAACTGCGGCCAGGCGTTTGCCCACCCCACCCCAGCCCTGCCTTGCTGGAGGGCCGGAGGCCTGCTGGTCTGAGCGTGCCTCGTGGGAAGAGAGAAGGGGAGCACGTTTCTTTGTAAATGGCCCTGTGCTGTTTTCTGAATGGGAATGCACAAGGAAAATTCCATATGCGGTGTAGTCTGAGCAGCCTCATGGGTGCGTCACAAACCCGGGCCGACTGAAAGCAGATGTTTTGAGTTTTAAGACTGTGGTTCTACCAGCTTCGTGACTGTTTTCCTTTCTCCCGAATATTTCCATTGACCTAAGTCACAACCCCAATTGTTGCTATGGGGAAACACATATATTAATATATGTATACATTATATAGTATATATAATATGTACACATTATATATACTATATAATGTATATATGTTCTCACAGTTGGCCTAACTGGGAACTGAAAAGTGACAACAGAAGAAAATCTGTGGGTTGATTTTTAATCGAATATAGTCTGTTTAAAAATGGAGAGATATTTTGTGAGTCATTAAGGTTTCTTTTTCTTTTTTAAAGAATTTTTTAATTTAAAAATGTTTTATTTTTTTGAGAAAGTGTGTGTGTGTGGGGGGGAGGGGCAGAGAGCGAGGGAGACACAGAATCTGAAGTGGGCTCCAGGCTCTGAGCTGTCAGCAGAGGCCAGTGGGGGAGGGCTCGAATCCACAGACCACGGGATCATGACCTGAGCTTTGGTCAGATACTTAACTGACTGAGCCACCCAGGTGCCCCAAGATTTCATTTTATTATTTATTATTTTTTAATTTTTTTAAAAAAATTTTGAGAGCGCACAAGCAGGGAAGGGGCAGAGAGAGGAGGACAGAGGATCTGAAGTGGGCTCTGCACTGATAGCACAGAGCCCGACGCGGGGCTTAAACTCATGAACTTTGAGATCGTGACCTGAGCTGATGTCGGATGCTCATGTGACTGAGCCACCCAGGCGCCCCAAGATTTTAATCTGTACCCCCAACGTGGGGCTCGAACTCACAACCCCAAGATCAAGAGTCACATGTTCCTCTGACCAATTGAGCCGGGCTCCCCAGGTTTTTTTCTTCTCTGATGATGGAAAAAGGGATATGAGAATTCATGTTCTCCTTCACTTGGCGAGGAACATCTAAGTGGGAAACTTCATGAAGATTTTTAATTAACATGCTGAAACACATGGTATTTTAAAGGACTTCTGGAACAAAGTGGTTGATAGTAAGATTTATTTTAATCTTTCAATCTGCCAAAAAAAAAAAAACCACCCCGAAAACAGAAAAGATCAAACTATACTCCTATATATACAGTGCGGACATTTTCAGAGCACTTACATTAGGAATCATGGTTTCCCTTCAACCACGTGATGTACTGCATGTGCCAGGACAGAACTGACACAGACAATCGCGCGGCAACCACACGGACAACGTGAGTCCACGTTCAGTACACAAGACCTCTTCCTGGTGCTCTGTGTGCCCCTGACCGCCGTCTGACCCCCGCCTCCCAGAGCACCCTCTCACACGTGCTGTTAGAACCTTCGGCCTTTCCCTTCCAACAGCAGCTATTGTAGAAGCCCCAGGCTTTCCAGATCCAAATCTAAGGGAGACGCTGGCCATTTAAAAATAACCGCCGGTGGTTTATTAATGGGCAGGGAGAGGCTTAGCCACCAAGATGTGTAAAAAAAAAAAAAAACAAAAAAAACAAAAAAACTGCATGAGAATAAAAATAAATAAAGCTGTCATCAAGCGGTTTTGTTTACACTGTAGTTGGGAACAGACACTTGAACAGAAAACTGCCGTTAAAAGTTTTATAAAGTAATTATTTATATCCAAATCACAGCGGTTTGACAAATCTAAGGAAAACAGAACTGATTTGGTGAAGGTCCAGAGACTGTCGCGCCCCAGCACCGTGTAGCTCCAGCTGTCCTGGGCAGCAGTGATGACAGATCACGTGTCCTGACATAAGGCACTAGGTCTGAGAGGCCCTGCACTCGCCTTATGTCTGATTCCCTGTTCCAGAGTGGTGAGTTCTTTGAAATGAAAAATAAAAACTTCAGGACACAGTGCACTTTAATAACATACAGCGTTTGAAATCGCTCAGACGAGGGTCTGAGAGCAGTCTTTTAATGCAAGCCGGAATCTTCACACACACAAAATCGGTTTCTTATGCTCCGTTTTCAACACCACTGGAAAAAAAAATACCCATCACTAAACCCTGATATACGTCCTCAGCCATCTGACGGTCTCGGTCACGGTCTGTGTGCGTGAGGCAAAGCGTGACCCGGAATCTTTGCTCAAGTTCTCCCACGAGGGCTCCTCGGCTCACAGCGGTCATTCTGTTTCTGTCTCCTTTTGTTTGGCACCTGTCGGGAGATGGAAAACAAAAGCTTCAGACCATGTAACACACGCTGCAGCGGGCCAGCCTGCCCCCAGCAGCGGCGGCCCCACGCCGGGGTGGTTCTCACCCGTGCCCCGCCGTGCCTCAGGAGAACGTTCCAGACCCTAGAGGCGGGGGAGGAGCAGGTGGCTCCAAGCTCCTCACCACCGCACCCCCCCCCCCCCCAAACAGCAGCTCACTTCTAGTCCGTGTTCGGGGGCCCAAGTGTTAAATATGCAAGATTTAATTTGGAAAAGAAGAGGGTTCTGGTGCGGACGTTTGTAAAAGAAAGCGCGCAGTGTGTCTGCGTGAAGGTGCAGGCGTTGGTGTCGCACAGCCGGACCTGGCTCACTGCGCTGTGCGGCCAACCTGGTTCTTACAGACTGAGGGGCTGTGGCCACCTGCATCCGGCACGTCTACTGGGACCATTTTCCAAACAGCATTTGTTCTGCGTGCCTGTCCCGTTTTGGAAATTCTCCCGGCGTTTCAAACCTTTTCACGACGATACCTGTTACGGTGAGCGGGGACCTCTGTCACTATTGTAATTGTCGGCTGGCGGCCTGAGCCACGCGCATGCGGTGTGTTCCCACCACTCCGCTGGCCCGTCCCCCACCTCTCCCTCTCCTCGGGCCTCCCTAGTCCCTGAGATGCAACAATACTGAGATGAGGCCAAGGGAACAACCCTGCCGTGGCCCCGAGGTGTTCGGGTGAAAGGAAGAGTTGCCCATCTTTCAGTTTGTATCAAAAGCTAGAGCCGATTCCGCCCAGTGATGTCCAAAGCTGGGCCTCTTTCACCCAACAGCCATCCCCGCTGTGAACGCAGAGGAGACGCTGGCGAAGGAATGGAAAGCGCTCCTCCGGGGACCACACGGATGGAGGAGGGCAGCGCGGGCCCCCTGCTGGTCCGGAGAAGGTCGCAGGGGTCGGGACAGAAGACACCACCGGCCACTTGTTCCCGGACGCCAGAGCAGGGCCCCAACGCTCTCCCTCTCCGTGAAGGCGGAGGGGGGAGGGGGCTGCAGAGGGGAAGCCTGAAGCGGGCGGAGGTCGGCTCGGGGGAAAGGAGGCGTCTCCACAGCACAGAGGTGCCGGCCAAGCGGCAAGTTCTCCGGAAGGTGCAGCGGGAACACCGACGACGGGCCGGCACCGCGTGGACACGGCAGCCTCCCGTGGGAGGGGCGGGCCGGGACCGTCACAGCCAGAGAGCAGACGTCCGGGCCTGGCCTCAACGCTGCAACGGCCGGGCTGCCTCCCCTGCAGGGGCCACCGCGGCCGGTGACCTGGGGCGGAGGCCGGTGCTCGGCGACCGTCCTGCAAGTCCGAGGGCCCCCGAGGCCCCTGCGAAGTCCGCCCTGCCCGCGCTCCGTACGCGCGCCTGTCCACACCGCGGCCTCCCGAAGCGTGCAGGTCGGCTGCCGAGTTCCACGGCTCAGCGAAAGGGACTCCTTTCCACACAGGCTGCGGGCGGCCAGCGCCCCGGGTCACAGGCAAGCGCGCGGCCGGAGGCGGGCGGGATCGAGGCCCGTTCACGCCTGCGGCCACCGCACCGTCCCGCGGCCCACGGCCCAGGCCGCCTGCCGACCGGCAGGTCTGGGGGGTCGGCGTGCGTTCCACGGGCGACGGCGGCCGCGCCTGGTGGCTCCTCGGATGCGTCTGGGCAAGGGCGACAGAACCCCGGCGAGGGCTCACCGTCCTGGGTGCCGCCAGGACGTCCGTGGTCACGCGGAGGGGCCGGAATGACCACACAGTCGGGAGTCGGGAGGAAGGGGACCCCGGCCCTCCTGGGCGGCCGGGAGGGCTCGGGGCCGCGGGGGCGGCGGTCACCGCGGCCGGACGCGGCGGAAACAGCACGAGACCCGGCCCGCAAGTGGAGCCTGACGAGGGGACGCAGGTGCCGGCACCTCAGGACGAAGCCCGGACAGACGGACGAGGAGGGGCAAGGAGGGCGGGTTCCTGAGAAGGCGTCTCCTCCCGGCGGAGACGCTGTGAAGACGCCTGAGCGGCTCACCGAGGATCCGGAACGTTCCGTCGGCCTGGTCGCCGAAGCGGCGGCAGGCCTGAGAGGACACGCGGGTTCTGGAAGAAGTTCTCCTCCGGGGAAAGTGCTACCGACGGCCCCGCCCGCCGCAGGGAAACCGCTCGTGGCGGGAGGAGCCGATCCGCGTGGCGTGGCCGACGTCCCGCTGCTTCTTTTAAGACGCCGCACAGCCACCCGGCCTTCGGCGCCCCACCTACCCCACCCGGTCGGCAGCCTTCACCCCCGGCAGGACCCCCGCCAGCCGCTGGGCCGCGTGTTTCAGCAGCCGAGTCTCTGGGCGCGCACCTCCCAGGCCCCGGAAACCCGCGCGGCCCTTCCGCTCGCCTGACCCCGGGGGCCACTGGATCGCCAGGGTCCGGCCCTGGCCCACGGGATCCCTGAGGTGTGCCCGTGCATACTCCCAAAAGGTTTAACACACACACTAACACGCTCACGGGTACCTGCCCGCATCTGGCTAGCATATTTCCAAGCGGGCTGGCGGGAGCGCTACTGATTTTCTCAGCAGCCTCTCTCATTCTCTCTTCAGGTGCAAGACAACTTTTGAAAGAGATGAACAACCTATCAAAAATAAGGGCCTAAAAAACTGTAGAAACATTTAACCCATCATTTGTTCACTGGCGGTGTGCGCGCATGCTTGGGTTTGCCTGACAGTCCACGTTTTACAAGGAGCTGCCGCTAGAGAGAAAACGTTAAGTCAAATCCGTTGAATCCATCTCCTTGACAGAGGACTGTGTCCGCTAGCTGGCGACCAACCTTTGGTGGCTTTTATTCACGCAGCAGCGGACGCTTTCTCAAAGTGCCTCCTGCCGGCGAGTCCCATCAGGCAGCGCGGCCCGGGCTCTGGGGCCTTGTCGCCCGCAGACGGCTTCACCTAGGGGTTTGGTTTCAACCAGAGTGAGTCCGGAAGGACGTGTGTCAGCCTGCTGGCTCGCCGGCTCACTGGACCGGGGCTCCGTCAGCTCCTGGGGACACGGGGGTTGGGCCAAATCCCGTCCTCACGTATGGCAGCATCTGAAGGGCTGCTGGTCGGAGGCGGGCAGGGCCCGTGTTCCAGGGTCTCGGAATGTCCCGGGATGCAGTTTTTAGGGCCACGGAGCCTTTTTCCTAAATAGGTTCTACACACGACACACCACACCACACCACACCACACCACGGAGAAGTCTAACTCAGCTACTATCTTTAGAACGTTATTTCTATGGCAACGCACACACCAGTTCCGGCTGTGGAACACGGTTCCTCCCCACAGAGGAGTATTAATGACTTGGAATTTAAAAAATCTGATGTGGATGGAAATGTCTCCAGTCCAATATCCTCCTCCGTTTTTTTAAACAAACATTTTCACTTACTATTTTAAAGTAATCTATCTCTGCGCCCAACGTGGGGCTCGAGCTCCCAACCCTGAGGTCAGGAGTTACACGCTCTACTGACGTAGGCACCATGGCCACCACTCTCGTCCTTAGGGTCTGTGACACTATGTGCCGAGAGGCTAAAGGCCGTGATCAGTTTACTCTGGAGTTTGTGATGCACAAAGACTGGGCCACCGGAGCCAGGGGTAGGAGGGGAGAGGCGGCCGAGATAGGACCCTGCTGGGCAAACATGTGCCCTGGGCCCGGCCAGCTGCCCGGGAGAGGGGGCCTCTTCCTGATGGTGCTAAGTTACATGCCTGCAAGGCTGAGCCTGTCCTTGACGAGGCCCTAACCAGCGTGCACAGGAGCGCAGTCACTCTCGGTGGGTCTCGCCCACCCGACGCTGTGTGTGAGGCCGAGCAGGGCCGCGTAGGTGCGCTGCCAGCCGGGGAGCGTCCCACGGCATGGGGGTGGCGCATCTGCCGGCCTTCCGCTAGTGGTCTGGGATTATTTCCAGTCTGCGCCTAGTACTGGTAATGGGGTCGTTCAGAGTCATTTGCCTAATACAGGTAATGGGGTCAGAGTCATTTCATGGCCGTTCCATGATGACGAAGGCTATCAAGAGTTTTAGGTTCCCTAACACCGGCCACCGGAAGTGACTGCACGAGGCCGTCTCCAGGGTTTCCGAGTCCGCGGAACCCCTCCTGGTGCTGCTTCACTGCCGGAGTCCTGCCCTCGGCGTCCGCACAAAGAGGAGGTAATGTTTCTCGCTGGTGGCAGGGACTCCTTTAAGATGGGCATCTGGGGGCACTTGGGTGGCTCAGTTGGTTGAGTGTCCGACTTGGGCTCAGGTCATGATCGAAGGGTTCAGGAGCTCAAGCCCTGCGTCGGGCTCTGTGCTGACAGCTCAGAGCCTGGAGCCTGCTTCCGATTCCGTGTCTCCCTCTCTCTCTGCCCCTCCCCTGCTCACACGGTCTCTCTCTCAGAAATAAAACATTAAGATGGGCATCTGTAGGTTAGAAACCACCTGGAAATTAGGCGTGGTTTGACCTCTGACCCAAAGAAACATCGATACCGTAGTGCACGTCTTGGCACAGGTCAGTCTGGCCCAAGGCTAGAGGGTTTGTACTTCATGGGGTGGGAAGGGGAGGAGCAGGCCGGGGAGGGGGGGGTGGGCGCTGGTGCCTTTAGGACCCCTAAGCCCACCTCTCACTACTCAACATGGCACACAGGAGACAGCACCCCTCTCTTCCTGAACCCCCTCCTCCCCTCTCCCTGCATGCTCTGGCCTGAGCGCTTGCTCAGAGCTTGTCTGGCACAAAATGAGGTTAAGCTACCAACGCTGTTTGGGAGGTAATGCAATTTCCATACACTGTTAATGGAAGAAAGTTTGTTTAGGTCTTCTGTTTTATACTCAAAATACTAGTAAGCTTTTAAGGAGGAGAGCAAAGAATGTCCCTCCTATCTTTCCAGGTAGTCGTCCTAAAAATAAAGCAGAACTGAAGCGATCTTCGCTTCTGAATGGGAAGGGTTAGGATAGGCAACAGGCCCTTGATTATGTAGGCGCTGCTGGTCCTTGACAGGAGGCGCCTCAGGCTCCTTTCTGTGGGCGCCTCTCTCCCCCAAGCAGAGCAGGACAACAAAGACGAACCACACAAAAGTGAAGACGCTTTACAGAGGAGCGCACGAGAAGCCGAGCTCTGTGCATGGCGGTGAGGTAGCAGCAACCCTCCCCGCCCTGCCTCGCGCACCAAGGGCAAGGCCAGCAGCGGGCACTCGTACCTGCGGGAGTGAGTATCAGGGCCTGCAGGATGTCCGACAGGGAAATAATACCCACGATGCTATCTGCTTCGTTGACTACCACCAGCCGATGCACCTGCAAACAAGAGGGAAGTGGGTCGCGGGTCAGAGTTCACAGTTTTGTAATGCGCGTTAGGGAAACCGTACGCGACACGATGAACACCTCCCACAGACGGGAGATGGGAACAGTGCACGGAAGCACGGTCTTCGGCTCTAAGGCAAAATGCCGGGCTTCCTTGCGGGAACAGTGGCTGCGTCCCGCCGTTTTCAGGTTTCAGCCAGTTAACTAACGTGTGAGCGATGCAACCCAGAACGTGGAACACAACGTAGCCGTAATCTCTTAAACCGAAGTTCTCCGTTTTTTGAGGTTGGATCTCAGTTTGTAGTAACGCTCAGATACTGATGTACGTGGGCAAGACGTCCAACCAAATGAGAGTACAACAAAACAGGTCACAGCTCTTCATTTTTCTATGGTCTTTTCTCTCTGAAATTCCTATGTAATATGCTGAGTCCAGAGGATAAGTGAACTATGATTAAGTGAAATGGGTTATATGTGGGCTTCACACCTCTCTGACATCAGCGCTTTGGGGGGCACAGGAAGGAGATGGAAAGGGAAGGAAATTCTGTATCTTTGTCTCTGATACTGTGTTGGTGATGCTTTTCACGTACAGCTTGCTTTGGGTTAAAAAAAAATCACTTTTGTCCTCTTTTGCATGACAACGTAACTTTTAAAAGTCTCTTAGAGCATGTGATTCTTATCTCACGGTTGTGAGTTTGAGCCCCATGGCGGGTGTAGAGATGACTTAAATAAACTTTAAAAGTTTCTCAAAAAAAAAAAACTTAGGGTCGTCAATCATCCTGTGATATAGCCCAATTATTTTACTAGAATTCTCAAAACAGTGGCTTGTATCTAGGATCAGCGGGTGCTTTCTAGTCTATACTGGCCACATTTTGTCGTTAGCGTTCAATAATGCTAATTACAGAACTCTCTTCTGAACTACTGAAGGTCAAAGGGCGGCCATCTCGCCCAGAGAATGAACTCTACCAGGCAGAAATGACTAGCAAAAATACTTTCTTGTCATTTGTTGCTGCGTCTGAACTAGTGAACACGGTGTGAATATAGTTACGTCCTAGAAACAAACTAAATCCTTGCTGAGACTGTATGCCCTTCCTCCCGACAACCGTCTTGAGGCTAAAATTGGCCTCTGTCCCCCAGCAGAGTTTTCTGGGGAAAGAAATTATTTCAGTGGGCAGGGGGAGTCAAAACGGATAGCCTGAGAAAAGTGTTAAATTACATCCTTTTCCTCAATGACCTATTTCCTATTACAGAGAAATTTCTAGATTGTGCTGAAAAGACAAGCCAGTCACTATTTTCTTTAACCTGAGAGTAATACATGCTCAGACACAAGTGCTCAGGACAGAGGAGCGCTGTGTTGTGGCCCCACGTTGACCAGAGCTCTGCCACCCAGGAACAGCCACCGGTCCTGCTGGGGTGTGGGACTTCCTGGCCTCCTTTCCAAACACATGTATGCGTGTAAATGAATATACTCATGCTAGATCTAGTAAGTGGCTTTTTCTCTTGGTAATACATTGTTAATGCTTTTTCCATTTCTTCCAGAGCATCTCTCATCATTCTAAAGGATTCCATCACATGGATGTCCCTTGTCCTTATAAATAATTAGGAAGAGAGGTCTTACCTATTTCTGCTTATGCTCTTCAAAAGGCCCATAATTGTACAGACCTTAGTAAAAAGTTAAGATGTATTCCTGAGTTAGTTAAAGCTCTTTGGAAAACAAGAGTGATGGATGTTAAGCTAAGTGGAAAGAGTTCATATGGAGATTCTACTGAAATACATTTCAAAAGCTGTGACAGTGGTATCTGGGGGGTGGTGAGGGGTCCCCTCAGGTGAGCCCAGGGCAAGGCGGGCGTCTTCAGCACGCAAGGATGGAAATGGGGCTGCGTTTCTCCAAGATGGCTTCCGGAAGGGCGCCACCCCTGCTTCACGTGAAATGTTAAGAGCGCCTATTAGTAGCCTAAGAAGCAGGGACTTTTCTTCCTGGACTGTATGCTCCCATTTATAATAAGAATTACCAATGCAGATGGTAATCATTATCATTATGAATTGACTGTGCCTACTTTGGGGCTGTTCCAGAAAGAACAGTTACATCCTTCAGTCCTGGAGAGTGATAAACGGCTAACACTCCCTGTGTTATAAGGAAGGGAAGCAAGTGGGGACGCCAAATCAGATACGGTGCTGATCTCGCTCATCTTTTATCGAAAGCGTTATCCGAAGTGTGTGCAAAACCCTCACGTACACGGGCACCTGAGTGCGGAGGGTCAAGAGACGAAGCTATTAGACCATCTGCTCGCTATTCTCTAAGTCAGGAGACGGAGAAAATTAACTTAAAAAGATCAAAGGATGTTTTGATGGATCACTCCCTTTGTTGCAGCTATATGTGATTACTACACAAGTTTAAGTTTAAATTCACAGACCTAAAGTTCTAGGGACATTTCTTAATTATGTGCTTTATAAGCCGTGGAAGTTTCTTACCAGTCTGATTCAACTATGATATCAGCGCTTATCAGATCAATTCTGTGAGCATTTCCAGGCGACCTACTACGTGCCAAGCAACAAGGGGAAAGTGCGACGTCCAACGGCACCAAAGCTGCCACGCCAGCCAGCGCCGCGACTCAGGATCCCCACGGCACCGCGAACGCGCTCAGGGGTGGGGAGGGAAGGGGGTTCTGGCCCGGCCGCCTCACCTCGGCCCGCACTATCCTGTCCACGATGGTCTCCAGGACTTCCAGCTTACTGCACTTCACAACACCCTCGAAGTACTGTGAGCGGTGCTGAAGGGCTTGGGTCACCGTGATGTCTAGGTTGTTGTACGTCTTCTCAGCAGCAAGGTTCTGGGATCAAGGGACAGTGAATTTTATCCGTTTATTTCAGCTCCCCTTAATAACCTAAATTAGTACGTTTACACTGACCTGATTTTTTTTTTTTTTAAATATTTTTATTTCTAGGAGAGAAAGAGAGACAGCGTGAGCAGGGGAGGGTCAGAGAGAGAGGGAGACACAGACTCTGAAACAGGCTCCAGGCTCTGAGCCGGCAGTCAGCACAGAGCCCGACGCGGGGCTCAAACCCACGAACCGCGAGATCATGACCTAAACGAAAGTCGGACGCTTAACCGACTAAGCCACCCAGGCGCCCCTACACTGACCTGATTTCTAAAAACCCCGTTTACCTTAATTTAGTACCACCATGCGGATTTATCACACACCATCAGTACTGTCACCTCACTGTTAATCGTCCTCGAAGCTTACGAGACATTCCGTAATTATGAAGCGCCCTATTAAATTCTGACTGCATGTCCTAGGAATCCAGAAGATTCCCCCTGCCCCCATCCTTAGACTAACATCTGTAAAGGGTGAGAAGCGCCCTAGGGTGCCTGTGACAATGCACTCTCCCTGTGAGCCCCTGTCCAGGGAGCAAAATTGTCACTGGGAAGGCAGAGGCACCGGCCAGGATCAAGCCCACGGAGGAAGTACAGGCCAGATGAGCCACTGCAGATCCATATGGCTTCAACCTCAGAGGGTCCTACCCAACCAATTTCTCACTGGCACATTTTTTGATGTCCTGGTCAGCAGAATAAACGAAACGAGAGAGAGGGAGCGAGCGAGCTGCAAAGTTGTATTTAACGCTGGGATCAATGTTGGGGCAAAAAATGATGAGCATGTTTGGGGCGACTAGAATTTCAGGTCCCTTTCTTAGAGATACTAGAAAACTCTAAGGAAGTGGATTTAAAATGAATGGGGGTGGGGTGGGGAAAGCACCGAGTAGAAAGATGCAACATTACATCTAGCAGATTTAAACCAGGGATTCAAAAACAGGCCCCTTAAAAACAAAACCTAAATAATATAGGGGCGGCTGGGTTGGTTGAGCATCCGACTTCCACTCAGGTCATGATCTTGCAGTCTGTGAGCTCGAGCCCTGCGTGGGTCTCTGTGCCGACAGCTCAGAGACCAGAGCCTGCTTTAGATTCCGTGCCTCCCTCTCTGCGTGCATGCGCACGCGCTCTCTCTCAAAAATAAACATTAAAACTTTTAAATAACCCTAATATATTTGCTGTTTTCTTTAGAAAATTGTTCCCAACAAGCAATGAGATGATTATAACCCTGAAGGGAGCCCCAAATTACTGTGCGCACCAAGCACATGCCTGCGGGGGGAATAAATGCCGTGTCACACATGGAAATAGGACCATCTAGAATATTTACCCGCGCTGTAGTAATGGGTAAACTACACATGGACTGGAAAAACCTTAACTGCTCATACGTTATTCACTGCTGACCCAGGCAATGTTAGCACCGCAGCTCCGCACAGTCTACAGAATCCTCCAGGCCTCACATTCAAAAAGCTCGTAAATTAGGGAAAATCGCACACAGATGCATGAACCAGTTTTAAATGCAGTCTAGCTTACAGGTGTAACAAAATGAAAAATACTTACAATGACATCAAATTTGGAATAAATATCTACAACTTTTCCTAAAAATGAAAAGATACAAATGTTAGAAAAAAACCAGGTCTTAGGGATAAGAAGTAACATTTAAAATCAGCACTAGCCAGACGCTTACTAGCAGCTGAACACTCTGCCAAATCAACAAACTTATCTAACTTTAAACGGACACGAAATCCCGTCTTAACAGAAAGTGTGAAAATAAGCCGGGTTAAAGTCCTTACTTACCCGAGTGCCTCCGGCGCTGACTCGATCCGCCACGTCTGAAACTGTCAGCCCCGCGAGCCGCTGCCCCTCCCTTCCCCCCCGGGCCCCCTGCAATCTGACCTGTCGGTTTGCCCTGAGTGACCCAACTCACAGACCTGATTCATCCACCACAGGCAGGGCCGACACCCGTCTTTCTACGAAGACGTTCAAGGCTTTAATGATGGGCGTGTCCGGGTGGATGAAGGCGATGTTGTGGTAGGTCCCGATCCCCAGGGCGTCCAGGTTCTGCTTCATGAAGGCAGGCTTTGGCATATCCGACATCTAAGCGGGAAGATGGACACACGTGCTCTAGAGCCCAAGCAGGCCTCTGCGGTGTTCACAAGTCCACGCGGGCAACAAAACACGTGTCACAGGCAGATTAAAGTTCGTGTTTTCTAACCATCTACCCGGCTGTACGAACGAACACGGCACTGTGACCCACACGAATCGCAGTCTGCGTTCAAACCGGTTTACGGGTCTAAGCTTCTGTTTAGCGGCTTAGGAAAATACCGCGAGGCACTCACGCGGTGTCCCGTTCCCCTTCTCTTCACCCACTGAAAACGTGGACAGGAGAGGGAACGAGAGGTCTCTTTGGAAATTAAGACCCACGGCCACCAAGAATCCCGTATTCTTAGATATTTATCCTAAACTCCTGGTCCTGCTGCTGGCATTAAGGAATACCTATCAAGAACCCTCGCGTTTCCAAACCCAGAGCATCTGAGGGGGGCTGCTGAGCTACGCTGGTCCTCACCCCGGCCCCCCCCATCCTGAGGGCTTCACCTTGTGATTACGAGGGGCACAGGACAAGCCAACCGAACCGAATCACAAGAACCTTTAAGAGTTTGCTTTTCTTTTCGTGGGCTGTTTTGGAGGAGGAGGGAGAAGTCAGAAGAGAGAAGTCTAGGGTCATGTTTGACTAAGACAAAAATAAGGTCTACGGGTTCAGAAATCCACCTTGTGTCAAGGGTATGGTTGGTTCCGTCCTCCTGCTGTACCTTATAATTATCAGGAAAAGATGAACAATTAGAAGAAACAAAATGTTCAAGTCAAAGAGTTCATCAATATTCAAATCATGAGAATCCTAGAAATTTAGAGAAAAAAAAGACCTATTAGGTCATCTAGCCCGTCCTGACGCAGGCACCCCCTGATCCATCCTGTACGCTCAGGCCAATGTCAACGGTCTCCAGGGGAAAGGCCACTTTTTATCAGACAGTGATCTCGATGCAGTGCAAATCAGGGTCTGAAGTTTTATTTGAGGGTCTGTGCTTTAATCCGGAAAGCTCCAGGTGAATATTCTAAGGGCATGATGTAATTACCATATTGGCCCAAATAGAAGGCGGGACTGGCGGCGGGGCCCTGCTCTACCTTTTATGGGTCACAAGGACACCAGGCCCGCCGCCGCAGTACAACGGAGCAGCCGTGAAAACGGGCTGGGCTCGGCCGGCGACCTCCGCGAGACCCGGGGCAGGCTGCGCCCCCCGAGCCAGGTGCCTCCGTGTGGAGGAGCCACAGCACCGCCTGCTGAGGGGGCCGTGGAGGCAGGGAGGCAGAGGGAGGCCGCCCGTCAGCAGTGAGCTGCCACCGTCGCTCCCCCTCACAGGGTTTCGCCGCCTGGAAGATGGGGATTCACAGAAATACCTACCTGAGGGGGCTGAGGCGAGGCCTGGGTGTCATGTGAAGTGCTCAGGACGGTGCCTGCCACGTCACAAATGCTTCAGAGCACTCAGCTCTGACAGTTACTATACTTTCGTGGGGTCACTCTAGGGGGTGGATGGGCTAAGAGCCTGGCGCCTGCGGGCCCTGGACGCTCGGCCCTGCCCCGGGTTCCACTCGAGCCGGATGCTGAGGCAGCTGCCCGTCCAGCGCACAGCGGACCCAGGGTCCGCGCATGACAGAGGGGACGCTGCCCAGCACTATCCATCCGTCCCCGACTGTCCCCTACACTCTCTGCTACCTGCTCCTTTGTAAATTTCCTACCTTCTGTCTTCGAGGTTATTTACGCGTGAAGAGTGTTAGTTTCACACGTAAACTATGAAAACACAGGACTGGCTTGATTCTCCCAACGAGTGACCCGCCCTGGGCTTCTGTCCGGCCATCCGGGCTGCCGGAGGAGGAGCCCTGGCTTTCTAGAGGCTGCTTTGTTTCCTGAAGCGGTAGGAAGCGGGGAAGCTAATCTGATGTTGATTTTTAACGTCGACTGCACCCTGTAAACACACGGCCTCACGTCGTCTCTTCGGGACCACGAATGAGGCCTCCTGCTGGTCCTGGCTGACCAACTACTGCTAACTGCAAATGCAGGGCCTGCGCTGCGAAGGGGAAACACTAAAGCCCTCTCGTAAAAACTCTGGTCCTTCGGAGCTTTCAGGATTGACCCAAGAGGCCAATGTCAGGGGTGACTGGGAAGACGTCCTATTTCAGATGCAGTTGAGAAAACCTACTGGTAACACAGCCCGAATTTGGACCAACATGGTATTCTCGTGCCAAAATTTCATTCACTTTGGGTTTTTCTCTCGCTGTAATTCACAATAAGATAATCCTGGGGTATTTTTTGAACGTTTCCAAAACCATGATACCAGTAACGCATCGCAAGGCAATTTGCTGTAAATATTGGCTCATTGGATCTTACATAGCAGTTTCTTAATCGGACAGACTTGCAAATTGCTTCACTGCCCTCTTATTTTAGGTGATGAAACATTCTAATTTAAATAGAGAATTCCAAGTGGGTTTAGTATTTTGATACTTGCACTGAAAGGTGACTGCTCTTTAATTGGAATCAACTTTGAGAAGGTAGTCAGTTGAGAAGCTGCCGCTGAGGAATGATGGAGACCTCCTAACAATCACAATTCCAAAATGAACAACTTCTATGGAGGGTGACGGGAGCCAATTTACTTGAAGTAAATTAGTTAAAGTAGATGCAACTACGTCTTTAGAAACACTAAAAACTACTTACAAAAAGCTGGAGGAACTTGAGGATTCTTTTGTGGGTAAGTATATAAAGTGCATTCCCACTGATAGGGTCAATAACTGGCAATCTGTGGATTTTATTTTTGATCAACGAGTATACAGCATCGAAGAGGCTGTGGGAAAAGCCATCAGAGTTGTTAGGAGGCTTTCAAGAAAAATGTAAAACGCTCTGGACCACCCCTGCTTTTGAAGCATTTTCAGTGTTTTCACATCACAGCAATAAAAGGTTGATTTGACTCAAAGCAGTGTTTGGGGGAAGTTTTAAATTGGAGTATCTCGGCAGATGTCTTGATTTTTCCCAGTCTGTGTTAGTCTCAGATGCAAGTGCGAGCTACCGATCTCCAGGAGATCCGTTTCTAAGCGTGTGTTTAACGCTGCTGCTTGAGAAACGACAGGGGCGAACCCGCAGGACTCCAAGCGACACCACCAGCCCCCTTCTGGGCTGCTCTGGCCCCTCCTGGGACGGCCGACCAGGAGGCAGGTGGGTCTTTTTTTTTTTTTTTTTTTTTTTTAGGACTTGGAAATAATACAAAATTAGTATTCCATTATTTCTCGCTAGTGCTTCAAGTTTTAAGAATGTTTGCATTCAATGTGGAAATGTACCAGAGCCGTCCCTGAAGGCCGGGATCAAAACCTATGTGCTAGAGGGCTCCCGAGGGGCAGCGTGTTCTTCTGACGGCCTCGACCTTCACACCCACGTCTTAACGGAGACTGACCTTCAACCTCAGGGCACGTGCGAGCCCCTGGGGGAGCTGCCAGAATGCACGTTCCTGGCACCACCCTGCAAAGGCTAGGATCTGACAGGTGGGAGGTAGAGCCCGGAACGGGCCGTGTTATCAAGTTCCCCGCAAGGGTTTCTGCTGCAGGTGATCGGGGTTTTAAAACTGCTTCATATGATCATCTTCCCGGCCCGTTATCAATCCTCTGGGCAAACAACGGCTGGTTTTATTGTCTCTAAATGTACTGAATTTAGTATTTGACATGAGGGAGACAGGCCCCAACTAGGTGAAAAACCCAGCAATCAGGGAAACAAAAAAAGAATCTGAAGGAATGTTTTCAAAGGAGAAAAACTTTACAAGTTTACCTTGCATCTGGAGATATATTCACTAAAGGCTTAAATGTTTCTTGTAAATAAAGCTCTGTTTTTATAGAAAGAAAATATGCAATTAGTAACAACGCACTTGCTGTTTGTAATTATTACATAAACAGCTCTTCAATTTACAGATAACAATTAGAAGAATTAAACAAACGTAATGTATTGAACACTATGAGATACATTATAGTTAGGACTATTTGAAACAACTTATAAGCTGCTTTTAGGACGTTGCCTCTCTGGAAAGATTATCTAATTATTATTAGATAATAATTATCATTATTACAATGATGTAAAAATGAGAATAATATTCAAGCAATCTGATGTAAAACATCAAAACCAGCAGAGGTCACTAGAATGCTACCCAATTATTATCACCCTGAAGAGATGAAGGGTTCATAAAATATTTAAAAAGAATTTTCATCAGTTAAAATAGAAAACAGAAGTTCTACGAAACTTTGTTCTTTAAATGTTCTTGAGTTTGATTTTCCCAAACGAATGCTCAAAACCTGCATCTTGGAGATCCTTGGAGTCTGTAATGAAATTTGCCTCGCTCAAGTTTCCATACAGAAAGCATGAAAACGTACCTTGACATTACCATTATTACTACCAAATACCATTGGACGTCCACCCGTAAATATACTTAAATCCTGGTCAAATGGTTACTTATAATATAGCAGAATTCGATAAGAAATACATGTCTTGGTGTTAAGTTATCCATTCACTTCCTAACAGGCTGCGCTAAGATACACATCCCACATTTGACTTTGTTTCCTTTGACTTGACAAAGTCATCACAAGTCAGATATATGGCTTAGTGAAACTTCCACGCCAAATGGAATTAAACAGCCCTCAGCCCTTTAGAGAATTCTGATGGCTGTTCAGATTTTGCAGCTTCTGGTCACAAAGGCTGCTTATCTTTCCAAGCAGATTTTCAATTGTTAATTAAAAAATTTCTGTCTACTGGTCCCTCTGCTTCTATCCAGGCTCTTCTCTGAACACCTTACAAAGGCCCATCCTCAATGTCAGTCCGACTGCCTTCCTGAGTCCTGTCCCGTCTTACTAACGGGCGCTTTGCCCCCTCCGTCACCCAAGCGTGACGGGGCTCATGAAGGCAGAACAATTTCACAATAGTCGTGAGACCAGAATTTAAAAAAATGGCCCCATTTCAGAAAGGGTTTACTGTGACTTAAAAGGCTTCACTTTTCATGTTCTTTTATTCAAATCTTCTAACTTAAGGTTCATTTGTTCTGTGTGTCTCCATTATAAAGAAATGCTTATTAAACTGAAGAACAGATCCTTGCTTTTGTTCATCTGAAGCACTCGCTCGGCGCATGGCCTCCAGAGAGAGAAATCTGTGGGTGAGGAGGGTAATCCTTAGTGGCGAGTGGGGATTCGCTGGGGCCAGCGGCTGGGGCACGGGCTAGTTCACGGTCTCCCCATCCCAGCCTCAGTGAGCACTAGCTACAGCACCCCCTATTCAACAGAGGGGGTGGTGTTTACAGTAGTCATAGCACACAATTCAAGATTAAAATAGAAATAAACGTTTTAACTACATAATTGATTAAGCAAAGAGAAAAAGATGTGCGAAGATAAGACGTATTTTACACACATTTTTTTCCCCTGATCTTAAAACATTTTAAATACCCGACATGCTTACCCCTCCATGTTTCAATCTTATGTTCCTCTAATTCATAAATCTGTACCTGCAAATGAGAAAAATTCTTATTTACAAATGTTAACAGAGACAACATAAGAAAAAAACTATTTTGTTACTACTGTGGAGCCCTGTAATTCAGTAGCTGGAAACAATCAGGACAATTCAGAAATACTGGGAATAGAATTTAGAAACACAGAATGCTCTACGTTTCTTTAAAGATAAAGGTTTTCTATACTTAAAACACACAGGGGTGCCTGGCTGGCTCAGTGAGGAGACTCTTGATCTTGGGGTTGTGAGTTTGAGCCCCACACTCAGTGTAGAGATGACTTAAACAATAGAAAGTGTTGGGGCGCCTGGGTGGCTTAGTCGGTTAAGCGTCCGACTTTCACTTAGGTCATGATCTCGCGGTTCGTGGGTTCGAGCCCCGCGTTGGGCTCTGTGCTGACTGCCATCTCAGAGCCTGGAGCCTATTTCAGAGTCTGTGTCTCCCTCTCTCTCTGACCCTCCCCTGCTCACGCTGTCTCTCTCTCTCTCTCTCTCTCTCTCCTAGAAATAAAAAAAAATAAAAAAAAATATTTTAAAAAAATAGAAAGTTTACATTTAAAACATAGGAAACTAGAGTAGTATTTTCATTAATCTAATAGAAACATTTCTGATACGCTTAAATTTTAAAACATATATGGACCTCTACGCCCAATTCCTTCTTTTTGAGGATACGGCAACTTTTTCACATCTCTAAACAGGACAAATGGTTACATCGTGCTAAAATAAAGCTGTCAGGTCAGTTCAGGCCTGGACTGTATCAGCCTGTCCCCCAGGGTAGGAAGGGCATAAAACGCCCAGAGGGTCACACAGCGTGGTGTCCTACAGTCACTTTGGAGTTGTTCGCTTTGTTTCAAATCTCGACGCCAGCCCTGCTGCTGCTTAGCTGCTATTCTTGGCCGAGTTATTTAACCTCTCCATCTGTTTCCCTCCCGAAACAACTGCACGAAAAGGCCCTCCAGATCCGGCTTCTGTGAGCATCCCAGGAGAGAACAGGAAGTGAGTGCCAGGCGGAGACGGTGCTTCTCCACGGCGCCCCCCTGTGGCTCCCCTCCCAGCTCGGCGTTTCGGTCCCTACGCCTTATAGCGGCTTGTGCTGGGGCTCAGGGGTACCTGAAATAAGGAAACCTGGCCTTCTTGGAGCAGGAAAGCCAGATGGCAGCAGCACGAAGAGAGTCCCGTATGAAAATGCCACTGACCCTACGACGACATGGGGTCGGGGTGCTGACCCCGGTGCGTGGCTTCCCCAAAGTTAACTGCCGCTGTGGACTGGAAGCCTTACTGACGACAGTCCATCGACACATATTTCCACGTTCTATTTACTACATACTGTGTTCTCACAGTCAAACAGGCTGGTAAAAAGGGTATTAAGAAGCCGTGAGGAAAACACATTTTGTGGCACTGCGTTAAATGAAAGACATCTGCGTGTGGGTGGACCCGCGCAGTTCACGGCATCTGTTCAAGAGTCAACGGTATGAGGTCACCCTCTAAAAGGCTGAGTACAGGGACACACACAAGGTAGAGATGAACAGAAGTCAGGCTAGGAAGGTGTTGAGAAGGCAGAGTGGGCTTTACAAAAGGCAGAAAAACCGAGTAAAGACCTGGAGAGGAAAGAATCGATCCTGCTCAAGGAACACGGAGGACAAAGAGGGCTAGAGTGAGGGCTGGGGACCAATGTGGCCTCATGCTCACTCAGCCACCCCATGGCCGACGGCCCCCTGGCCTGGAAGACGAGGCCGGGTCGGCCCTGATGGGTTTAAGTAGCGGAATGATGTGATAATAAGGCTCAAAGATGGCGGCTTTCACAGCACCAGCGCCAGATGGGGAAACTGAGTCTCGGGTGGGAAGTGAGGTCTAGAACTGTGATCGGGGTGATACGGGGCCACAGGAAGGACAGAAAGGTGCGGGGAGACAGAGATGGATGAATACAGGAAAAGCCCCCCACCCCTGCCCAGTTTTGATGCTAGGTGAGGGAGGAATGCGATCGTGATCCACGACAGAGAGGAAAGCCCAGATGAAGGTAAAGGGAAGGTGGGGACGTGGGTTTGTTTCGCTTCAAGTTTTTATAGAAGTTCCAGTTAACATACAGTGTAACATTGGTTTCAGGAGTAGAATTTGGTGATTTATCACCTCCATACAATTCCCAGTGTGCATCACCACAAGTGCCCTCCTCAGTGCCCGTCCCCCATCTAGCCCGTCCCTCTGCCCACCTCCCTCCAGCAGTCTTTGGTTTGTTCTCGATCCTTAAGAGTCTGCTTTACGTTTTGCCTCTTTCTGTTTTTCCCTTACGTTCATCTGTTTTATTTCTTAAATTCCACACGAGTGAAATCAAATGGTGTTTGTCTTTCTCTGACTGACTTTATTCACTTAGCACAATACCCTCTAGAGCCATCCATGTTATAAACGGCAAGATTCTGTTATTGATTGATTTATTTATTTTTGAGAGAGAGACTGAGAGAGCAGGGGAGGGGCAGAGAGAGAGAGGGAGAGAATCCCAAGCAGGCTCCGCGCTATAGGCACGGAGCCCGATGTGGGGCCCAAACTTACAAACCGTGAGATTGTGACCTGAGCCGAAATCAAGAGGCGGACGCTTAACTGATGGAGCCACCGGGTGCCCCAAGGTTTTGTTCTTCAAGGATATGGTTTAGCAGAGTTTACAGATAGAACCTACAGGTCTCGGCCTCACTCGGAAGTTTTGAGATGATACCAGTGCTCAGCGGAGCAGAGACCCCCCTGCGTCCTGCCTGCCTGGCCCTGACGCTCACCAGCGTGGACACGACTGAAGGAACACGAGCATCTCTTATGCACCAGGTGTGTTTGGCTCTGGCATGATGGGAAGGGTGTGTGTGTGTGTGTGTGTGTAAGATGAGTGGGGAGCCTGGGTGGCTCAGTCAAACGTCCAACTTCACCTCAGGTCATGATCTCACGGTTCATGAGTTAGAGCCCTGCGTCGGGCTCGGTGCTGACAGCTCGGAGCCTGAAACCTGCTTCGGATTCTGTGTCTCCTCCTCCTCTGCTCCTCCCCCGCTCACACTTTGTCTCTCTCAAAAATCAACATTACAAAAAATTAAAAGAGCAGGAAAAAAACCAGTTCACATTAAAAAAAAGATACAAAGATGAGGGAGATACAGTCTCCACCTTCTACCTCAGAGAACTCAAAGTCTAGCAAGAAATTCAGATGCCCTGTAACAGCGTCCTCAGCCTGGCACTCCTGGCACCGTAGGCTCGGTGGCTTTGTTGTGGGGACTGCCCTGCACATTGTAGGCTCTAATCCCCGGCCTCTGCCCGCCAGACACTAGTAGAATCACTTGTCCTTCCAGCTATGACCAAAAATATCTCCAGATGTTGTCCAAAACATGGGGGCCGGGGAGGGGGGAAGGGGGCAAAATAGCTCCCAGTTGAGAAACGCTGCCATACGGGCATTAACGGGAGCGCGGAAATAGTGCCTGATTCCGTCAGAGGGAGACTAACGCGGGGAACCCTCCATCACTACGGTGACCCGGGGGTAGGATTCTGAAAGCCTAGACTTTCAACTGGCAGGGGCCAAGGATGAGGAGGGCGGGAAGTTCGGGAAGGGCAGCCACGCAGAGGAGACGGCCGAAGGCTCAGCTTTAGAAAATACCCACAATTAGGAATTACAAGGAGGAAGAAAGAAGGAACCTCGCGGGTCGGCTCAGAGGGAGGGGAGAAGGGAGACGTGTCACCAAGTGTGAGTAACACTGCACGAGGCGCTACAGAAAGCTCGGGAAGCAGGGGCCACCGGTCTCGAGCACAAGATTTAACTGTTAAAGAAAGGTATCTAGTACCTACGCTTGTGTAAATATAGGGGTTGAGACAAGCAGCAGTGGCCTTGGCTCTCGCTAGAAGGAAAATTCTTGGGGCGCCTGGGAGGCTCAGTCGGTTAAGCGTCTGACTTTGGCTCAGGTCATGATCTTGTGGTTCATGAGTTTGAGTCTCATGTTGGGTTCCATGCTCATAGCTCAGAGCCAGGAGCCTGCGCTAGATTCTGTGTCTCCCTCTCTCTCTGCCCCTCCCCGACTCCTGCTCTCTCGTGCGCAGGCTCGCTCCCTCTCAACAATAAATAAATGTTAAAAAAAAAAAGTTCTTTCCAACATATACATGAAAATTATGGTTTAAAAGTTCCGTTTCCATTTTGTGGAAAATCAACCACAGAAAACATTACAAAGACACTACAAAATCTTCCAGGTTTAAGCTCCCCAGCTCACTGAAAATTCAATAGGAATAAGGTAGGAAAACAAGGCTGGAGATCACCCAAGAGAGAATTAGCAATTAGCAAACGAGAAACAGATCAATGATGCTAATCCCTGTGGTCAAGTGGTCTGACCCTCCTACGTCTGACGTCCCAGAGGAGACAGGAGGAGACAGGAAAAATGTCTGGAGAAACAGCAGCCAGAAACTTCCCCAATTGGGTGAAAAGCCAACTCAGGAGATCACAGAAACTCAGCAAACCTGGAGCAGGATAAACACAAAGAAAACCAAACCCGGGCACGTCGCCGCTACTGGGAAGCCCAGAGTTAGAGGGACAATCTGAAACTGGAAAAAAACAACGTACTCTGCACAGGGCTGAACGTGCCCACAGACTTCCGATCTGAAGCACTGTGGGGAAAGCATATCTTGAAAGTGTTAAAATCAACTATTAATTTGGTTTCTAGAAAGCAGCAGAAGCATTCTTCCAGAATGAGGATGAAATAATGACAGTGTCATTGAGCAACAACTGCAACGGCCCATCTTGGCAGAAGCGTTGAGACAGGACCGAATGACCCACGCAGGAGGGGGTCCGGCAGATGGCAGGTGCGGGGCGGGGGTGGGGCAGAGCGCAGATCCAGAGGGCAGCGAGGGACGGGGCTCTGGGCCAGTTGGTTTAAGAAACTATGAACACTTTTTATTCTCCATTCGGGTTAAAACAAAAATAAGGGCAGGTTAAGTGGAACTAGAGTTTATGCAGACAGTTCAGCGTTAACTCTCAACAGACCGAAGTTAAAGTCCACGGCCAGATGCGCACGGCAGCCGGAAACATCCTGTGCACAGAGGTATGGAGCACAGGCAGCCGTGACGGAGCAGGCGGCACGACACTTTGTCTCCAGCTGCAAATAACGGAAAATGGAAGGAAGTACATAAAACGACTGTTGTCAGACATTAGACAGCAGGCCGTGTGGGACCGTCGCCCCCGGGGAGAAGGGAAGCAAGCAGACCGAGCCGCACGATCACCACCTCGTTCCCTGGACTGTGGTGCAGGTGGCTGACCCAGCCTGGACGTGGCAGGCCCGCTGAGTCAGGGGGGCAGGAATCAAAGCCTGGGCAGGCGGAGGAGTTTGCGGGCAGAGAGCGGACGGGGAGGAGCTGTCCGCGATCAGGAGAGAAGGCAGTCAGAGATCGTGCGCTTGGACGGAGTGCTCCGCGGGGCACGCCCGGGGTCAGGGGAGGTGAGGCCACGCCAAGACGGACCACGACGCGGGTCCTGACCTGGCAGGACGGAGAGTCCTCCTTAGGCCCCCGGGAGTCCACGGAGACCCCAGAGGGAAGAACCAAACCAAAGATGAACACGCTCACGAAGCTGGAAAGTAGGCCCCCAGTAAACATCTGGAAAGATGTTCAACATCATTCGCTGCCAGGAAATATGAGCCCAGACCGCAAGGAGGTCTCGGCTGTCGGGATGGCGAAAATCACCACCACCAGAAACAGCAGGTGCTGTGAGGCTGCGGAGACCAAGGAGCCCTGGTGCGCTGCTGGCGGGAAGGCACGCTGGAGCAGCCACCGCGGAGGTGAGTGCGGAGGGTCTTCGAAACATTAACAGAGCTACCACAGGATCCCGCAGGTCCGCTCTGGGTAATTTCCTGGAACCCCCTCCTCCGCCCACCAGAAAACCCAAACACTAATTTGAAAAGATATGCGTCTCCCTACACTCACTGCAGCATCGTGTACAACAGCCAAGACCCGGAAGCCATCCAAATGTCCAGCGGTAGATGAATGAATAAGGAAAATGTGGCGTGCACATGTGCGCAGGAATATTACTCAGAATGAACAAATGTTCCCGTTTAAAGGTGACGACGTGGATGGACCTAGAGTGAAATTCTAGAGAAAGAAGTCAGAGAAAGTGAAATTAAGTGAAAAAAGCAGAGAAAGACAAATACTCTAGGATTTCACTCATACGTAGAATCTAAAAATCAAAGAAGAGAAATATCCTCACAGATACAGAGAACAAGCCGGTGGCTGCCAGAGGGGGAGGGGGTGAAGGGACAAGAGAAATGGGTGAAGGGGATTAAGAGGTGCCAACTTCCAGTTAAAAAATTAATAAGCCACGGGAATATAGTCGATAAAACTGTAATAACTTTGTTTGGTGACAGACGGTACGTACCAACTAGACCTAGTGGGGTGACCAGTTTGTAACGTGTTAAGATACCGAATCACTGTGTTGTACACCTGACACTAACACTGTCGATTGCAGTAAGAAAAGGAAAACTTTGGGCTGTATACTTAGACACTGGTTTTATACAAATTTGGATTTAATTAACTACTGCTGAGATTTTTAATACAGGGGTTAGCTGTATTTTATCAATATATATCCAGTTAATAATCCTATTTGTGTTGATGTTGCTAGAAGCAGACATGTGACCATCATAAAGAAAACCAAGACTCGCCTGCATTGGTAGTATTTAAGAAATCAGACACGTCACGTGAAATGAATATGGGTTACTTACAAAACCTTTGGTAACACTTAGTTCTAAGAGGATGCCTTACGTCTTTATTGTGTTTTATACAGGAATTTAGTTATTGGGCAATACTAACCATGTGAAAAGAATGTTAACTGAGTTGCCTTTTTACCTTTTAGATACCCATAATCGTATTAAAGAAAAAAAAATGACACAATTCTGTCCTTGCCCACCCTTGCTAACCAACCAAACACAAACTACCCTCCCTCACCCTCCGACCCCCCGCAAAGCAGTCAACCCCCAAAGTACCAAAAACCAAATAGGCTGGTACAATCACAAAAATCATAGTGTTAGATAAAGGCCTTATGCGGCGCTCAAACGATGCTCTTAGGAAAGAGCTGGACCAGGGACCAGGGATTTCTCCCACTAAAATGAACCAGTCGTGGCAGAAAAATGTCAAAACTGAGTTTCTCCAATTTTAAGTTTTAACTTCTGAGTCCACAGAGTACATATCGTTCTCGTTAGGAGGATTTAGGGGGTGACTGCACCAGGCTGCACTCGCCTCGAGAGGCCCGAGAGGCTACGCTCAGTGGCACTGTCGTCTCCAGAGTGAAGGCGCCACAGATTGCCGCTCGTGCCAGGCTGTGCGAGGGGCCGCACGGTCATGCCGTTAAAGGTCACGAATTCAGGGATCAATTGTCCCGCAGCGCCCCACACCTTCTGTCTGTAAAACTCCATCACCACCGCCTCCCCTACACACACACACACACACACACAGTACGGCTCCGATGACGAACATAGGGATTTCCGGCACTTACCATGGGTGACTTATAGTATCTATGTAGTATATTTATGAAATCTGTAATTGTCAGCATTCCTGGAACAGAGAACTATAGGTTAAATACAGAACTACGAAGAAGTTCAAATGATAAGCAAACCTAGAAGATCTACTAGAAAAGCTTCTAACGTATAATTTAAAGGTGTCAAGCACAGTTTAATATATGATGTAGGATGATTAACCTGTTAATTATCTACAGCAAACCAAGATAAATGTAGCTGAAAATACACCTGACAGTAAGTACGATGCAAACGACAACGGTGTTTGGCAATTCAGCGACAGAAAATGTGCTGATTATTAGAAAACGTCACAAAAGACTTGCGGCTTCATGTAAATAATTTAAAATACTTTAAGATAAAATATTCCATAAGCTCTAGACACAGGACATTTCTGGGGGCGGGTGGACTGTCTCCGGAGAAGCATTCTATAAACACTGTTTAAGTGTTTATTTAGTGCCTATTTATTAGTGCCGTGAAGAGCCTGCTATGTACCAAGCACCAGGACCACAAAGATGAAGAAGGTAAAAAACTTCTCCTCGAGGAAACTGTAACCTGGGTGGGGGGTGGGGGGGAGGCACACTATAAACTGGTGATTTCGAAATAATGTGACGCCCACAAGGAGAATGGCAATGTTCACGGTCTTCCAGGAGCTGTAAGATGGGAAATGGTGGATTCAGATGTAAGTTAGGGGACGTTTCTAAAGGCGCAGCAGCGATGTGGCCCAGGAGTCAGGCATGTCTGCGCTGCTTCGTGTGCACCATCAATAAGGTGTCTGTGGAGAAGCGGGGACCGACCACAGGCGGGTGCACACGAGCCAAGTCAGGGGTCTGGGCACGGCGTCACCCGTGGACCCTACTCCCTGGGCTCAGAGAAACAGAAGGTGCTGGGCGCCCACAGGGAACAGGATCAAAAGAAATCGGATGAATAAATAAATACGAGGAGGAAACTCACTAGGGGCACGTAAGTGTTCTGAATTTCCCGGTGGCCCCACCTCAGCCGGGACATAAAAGCCAGGAAGTTCTTTAACTTGGCAGTAAGTTTTCTAGGCTGAATTCCAGACCGGCGCCTGTTACAGTTCCTTAGGCTTTCTGCTTCGGAGGTTGCCACTTAGGACCCCCCCCCCCCACCACCGGGCCACACTGCTTACCTACAAAACTCTGCTTCTTACTCTCCCACAGCGGCGCTGCGCGCACACCATTGGCCACCAAGGCAAAGAAGGCCTTTTTCACCTGCAGACACATAGGAGAAACAAAACGGGCTTTAGAGTCCACGCATCGGGGGGAGAAATACCTTCCACGGGCAGAGCCAAGCCGATCTCACCGGCTGTCTTCCGTGGGAGCTTCTGTACGGGCGACAGGCCGAAAAGAGCGGAGTGGATTACCAGCAGCAAAGATGCCCGTGTTCTACTGTAAGGCATACAGGGACTGGAGAGTTTTTGAAATTGAAATAATCCAAGTAGCTTCAAAAAGGTTTTTTTTTTTTTTCCCATCCTATCTAAAGACTTTGGCACACGTGGAGACTTTACGTTATTTAAACCATACAGAAGAATTAAATGTCCGCACAATTTCTCCTCGAGGTGGTTGGCAGTTCATTTGAAAACACTGGAGCTATATGGAATGACTGGAAATGAAAAGCTGTCTGTCGTATGGTCAATAACAAAGCAAAAGAGTACACGTCCTCATTTCCCGGAGGCTGAGAAAGAAGAGTTATGCGACACATAATATACGGGTACTTTTATTGTGGTATGTGCCTGGCACAGGCCGGGCCCCGTTCACATCTGGCGTCTCTGCGAATCACCCCGACAGCCCCTCTGGATCCCAAGCCAGGTACAGGCACCAGAGCGGCTGGTTCATTAAAAGCCGAAAGCTCAGGGGCACCTGGGTGGCTCCGTCCATTAAGTGTCCTACTTTGGTCACGGTCTTGTGGTTTGGGTGTTCGAGCCCTGCGCTGGGCTCTGTGCTGACAGCTCGGAGCCTGGAGCCTGCTTCAGATTCTGTGTCTCCCTCTCTCTCTGCCCTTCCCTTGCTTGGGCTCTGTCTCTCTGTCTCTTTCAAAACAATAAACGTTAAAAATAAAAAAGCCAAAAGCTAAGTGCTGAAAAGGACTCTCTAAATACCGAGGGCAGATAAACACAGGGAAAACAGCTCACCTTTATTAACAACCAAAGGAGTGAAGATTGAAGCAAACTTATTATTTAGAGCTGCTAAATCGGCCAGTATTTTTCAGCGACAGCACCTAAAACAAGTGCTGTTGTAAAATCGCGTGGGGCCCCGTAAATTGTGTTTCTGAGATTCAGCTTGTATGAAGAATCACAAAAATATTCATACTGTTCGTGTGCTAGCTTTTACTGTTGAAGTCTGGAGTCACCCTAGATTTTAGGAGGAGGATTCAGAGATGTTTAATGTCGTGTTATTCTGATACTGAAACTAGAAAAGAAATCTCTGCCCCCAACAAAAGAAAATGTATGAAGTACTGGCATACCAAAATGAGAAAAAAAGCACCAAATAGAAAAATTAGGAAGACCATGTTGAAGTAAAAAAAGAAAAAAGGTTTATGGTGGCAAAAAATGTAGACTATAAAACTATGCACTGTAATTGTATAAAATATGTGTTTACGTGAAAAGATCAAAGAGAAATAAGCAGAAAATTAAGCTATTATTAAGGAGCTGGGACAGTGATGCTGTTGTTTCTTTTTTATTTTTAAAAAAAATTTTTTTAATGTTTATTTATTTTTGAGGGGGGGGCAAGCATGAGCAGGGGAGGGTCAGAGAGAGAGGGAGACACAGAATCAGAAGCAGCTCCAGGCTCTGAGCTGTCAGCACAGAGCCCGACGTGGGGCTCAAACCCACAAACCATGAGATCATGACCTGAGCTGAAGTCGGACACTTAACCGACTGAGCCGCCCAGACGCCCCACTTGTTAACTAAGAAAGAAAAAAGTTCTTCCCCCACCCGGTGTATTACAAGTCCCAGCTTCCCAGTGGAAACAAATGAGAGAATTACAGGGACCCAGGGTTCTCTAACAGACTGGGGTTGAGAATCCAGCACCTGTTTGTGCCTCTATGGTGACACGTCTCGCCTCTGGCATGACCTACGTGGGTGCTCGGCTCCCTCACGTGAGAACAGGGATGGCTGGGGGCTGAGGGAATCTCATTCATTACTCCCTAGGCTCCTCTCAGCCCTGCCCAGGACCGTGTCCTGACGGTCTACTCGACTGTCGGGGTTTCTGTCTGTCGGCAGAGGACAGGGAAGAGGAGGTGGAGGTGCCGAGGGCCAATCAGACGACATGGACAGAAGTAGCAACAAAGCGGCATCTGTAAACTGATCAAGTATTTTCTGAACCAGAGCTTGTATCAAGAATCCCGACGACATTCACGCTGTTTACGTATCTGCACGGCGCCAGGGGTTGTGAGCCGACCTACATGGTCTGCTAGCTCTACCCAGATGATTCTCTGGGGTCCCGGAGTGTGGTCTATCAAAGACTATGGGGGCGAAGTCACAGATAAACATTTTAAAACATTAAATTATCAGTTCATCTTGTTTTTCTCAACAGCGCAGAGCCCACCACGCAGGGCTCGATCTCATGAACCGTGAGACCATGACCTGAGCCGAGATCCTGAGTCGGAAGCTCAACCCACTGGGCCCCCACAGGTGCCCCAGGAAAACCAATTTTAAAATCATTTCTCATCATTCGTGAAACCCTAAGTGGCCACAGCTGTTGCAAACCCATTCCAGAAGGTTCCGAGTTTGGCCATGATGAAATAACTGTACAGGCCAGACAAAACACACAAAGCACTGAAAGCACCGGTGTGCACCACACAGGCAAGGTTTGAGAAGCCATGATTCCCGAGAGAAAGGCGCATGTGACGTGAGCTCCACAGTCATTCTGGAGATTTTCTGCGATGTTTTCCGAACCCTCTTCAAATAGGTGCATCTCAACAGAAAGCCAGATTCTTGCAAAAAGAATCCAACCCCAGGCAGGTTAAACACAAACAAAACCAGACCTCAGCACACATCAGACAAGATGCTGAGAATCAAAGGACAGGAGAAAATCAGCTGGAGGAAAAAGACACAACTGCTCTTAAAGAGGCTACAAGGCACTGACAGCCCAGCAGGGAGTCCGTTTTTCTCTCAAATGTAAAGACTCTTCCTTCAGAAACATAAAATCTCGCTTCCCTGACTAATCTGCTACCTAAAAGCTCTTAGCCAGCCCTGTAACTGCTGTGAAGTTGCCACATGCGTCTAAAGGCCAGCACCCGACTCTGCATGTTGGCCGGTCCACCCGTGGGGGCACACAGGCCGTGACACGGAAGTTAGGCACTGACAAGGTGTGCGGACTTCAGTGAACGCTGGAGCTGTGTGTCAGTGGCGAGGAAGATGGTGAGAAGATCCCCCAGGCAAAGAGGAAGTTAAGAAGTTAACGTGAAAAGTGCCATTGCTTCTGCAAGAGGAGGCAGAACCACCGGAAAATAAGGAAAAGAAATAAAACACCTCCTTCCCCTTCTTTTCAATGGATGAAATCGCCAGACCAGCTAGAGTCCCACCTCCACTGCTCAGGTCCTCGACCTTCTCTGAACCTGTGACGGACTAAGATGGTGTTTTCCTCACAGGGGACAACGGGGACTGACCGGGCTCGTATGTGAAGATGCTCGGCATGATGTCGGCGCCGAGAGCCCATCAGAATAAATGCTTTAACTGTCCGCCCTACAGGGATCCAGCCAAAAGCAGAGAGAGAAATAGCCACTGTTCTAATTCCACCCATGTCATGCACCCATGTCATGGGACGGACGAGTCCCAGCCTCTGAAGACCCAGGACAACGCTGTGAGGTGGAGGAGCCACCCTCACGCTGGCGCGGATGGCTTCATGGGTCCCCCAGGGGGACAGGCCTGCCTGGGGCTCCTGCGCTCTGGCCACACCTCCCTGTGAACCTTGGCTTTCACGACACCGCGTGCACGGAGCTGAGGAGCAACTGAAAACCTGACTTAGAAGGTTCTTTGCAATTACAGAAGGGGTGTTACCAGTTAACCAATAAACAGGATGAAAAGCAGATGCACAATCTGGCTCCAATTTGCAGGAAAAAACTCTTGGGGGGTCTTGAGTACCCCTGAAAGTTTCTCTTCAACGGCTATGCAATTTGCTCAAAGTGTCATCGGTTTTGAAATGTACTTTTAATAGGATTTTCAAGCGACCAAATGTTGATAATTTGGCAAGATGGAAAATAAAATTTTAATAAATGATTTCTTAAAATAGTAACAAGCCCCAAGAGATCTGGGCAGTCTAATGTCAAGTGGCACATCTGTGTTCCCCCCAATGTGAATCTGGTTCCTTCGATGTCTCTCTGTTCTCTATATGGTTTTACCTCAATTTTCAGTAACAAAGCTGATTGTGGGGCTTTTAAAATTAACGCTGATGAACAGCTAAAGCTCTTTAAAACTGTCCAATCTGGTTTCGTACTAAATTTTTACATCAGGACTTGACCAGTGGATTTTTTAATGAATGTTTATTTTTTGAGAGGGAGAACGAGCGAGTGGGGGAGGGGCAGAGAGAGAGGGAGACACAAAATCCGAAGCAGCTCCAGGCTCCGAGCTGTCAGCACAGAGCCCGATGTGGGGGCTTGAACTCACAAACTGTGAGATCATGATCGGAGCCGAAGTCGGACGCTCAACCGACCGAGCCCCCGGAGTGCCCCAGGACTTGTCCAGTGGCTTCAACACCACCCGGTGGCGGCTCTCTGGTCTCTGATCGTGCTCCGCTGCGTAAGGAAGGGTCCAGCTTCTCTGGGGTGAGGTACCCGAGCCCTTCCCACAACCCAGCCCCAGCCAACAGGCTGAACTTTCTTTTTTCCTCCTGTGTCACAGTGTCCCTTCTCCTTCAAGTGCACTTACTTACCTTCAACTCTACCTGTTAAAACCCGGCTGACCTTTGACTTCTAATTCCACAACAAAACCTCCCCGTGTCACTGCAGTCAAAGGCGGTGTCCCTTTGCTCTGCTCCCACAGCACCTAATTCGTATCCTTTCTGTGACCTCCGGAGTTCCCGTGTCTCCTTAAGCTTAAAAATGGCAGAGTAGAAACATTCCTGACGTTTCCTCCTGAAAGCCACCCCCAAGCTACAGGGACTAGGAACTGGGAAAGGGATGAGCCCAGAGGTCTGCAGGCCGGAAAGCAGATGGACGGCGTTAATGAGTCACAGGGACGAAGGGTGGCGATGAGGAGGGGCTGGGTGGAGCC